CAAATTTTGTGGAATCATATAAAAATATAAAGACTCTCCTAGAAGTGTTGAATTTGCATACTATATGTGGGGTATGCTCTTATAGTATTGCGGCAGATTTAAAGCTGATTATGATGCTTCTTGGACTCCAGAGTAACGCTTCAGCACATCCATGTCCTTGGTGCAACGTAAGTTCAAGAGAACTAAAAACCAAAGGTTCTTCTAGAACTATCGATAGAATTTCAGATAAATTTAATATGTGGCATAGAGAAACTAACGGACAGCTTTCACAGGCAAAAAAGTTTGGTACGTTACAATTTTCTCTTATTTTTAACAATGTTAAAGTATTATACATATGTATACAGGGTGTCCCACGGTGGATGGCGTATTAGACGTTTATGGAGAACTAAAAAGCGGATCATTTTGAAAATTTGGCAACCGGGATAAACGGCCATGATCTACATTTTAAAAATATTTTTGACCATGCGGTGTTGCCGCTTCTACTCTAAACTAGTGGCAATATCTTTATTTTAAATGGAACACCCAGTATGTGATTGCATATTTGGATTCTACGTAAAATTCTGAGCAGATTTCATGTGATATACTCTATATCTAAGTTCAACTGTTTTGGAAATATTGACAGTTGAAAATTGACTTTTTGCAACTTTGACAGGCTGTAAAACCTGAACGGTTAATTTTAGAGGAAAACCGATTTTACATTCGTATCTTAGATTTTTATAAACTAACATTTGACACCAACTTTGAATTAAATCCATGATTAAAATTTCCAGTTAAATTTAATCTCCGGTTAAGTTCAAAGTTGGTGTCAAATGATAGTTTATGAAAATCTAAGATAGGAATGTAAAATCGGCTTTCCTCTAAAATTGACCGTTTAGTATTTACATCCTGTTAAAGTTGCAAAAAGTCAATTTTCAACTGTCAATATTTCCAAAACAGTTGAACTTAGGTATAGGGTATATCACATAAAATCTGCTCAGAATTTAACGTAGAATCCAAATATGCAATCACATACAGGGTGTTCTATTCAAAATAGCGATGTTGTCACTAGTTTAGAGTAGAAGCGGCAACACCGCACAAACAAAAATATTTTTAAAATGTAGATTATGGTCGTTTATCCCGGTTGCCAAATTTTCAAAATTATCCGCTTTTTAGTTTTCCATTAACGTCTAATAAGCCATCCACCGTGGGACACCCTGTATACAGTGGCGACGCCAGGGTTTTATGTTAGGGGGGGCCAGACTGGGCCAGAAAAAATTAGGGGGGGCCAGACTGGGGCAGAAAAATTTAGGGGGGGACACTTGATTTTACTTTATTGCTTGTACCCTATTTTAATCAATTTATATCAAAAACGCTATGCATGGTAATATTGAGGTAATAAAAAACAGAGAAGTAGGTATAGGTGATAAAGATCAACTTTAATAACCTCAATTATCTAGGTATATTGAAACATACAAAAAAAAAAACAGCAAGACATATCCAAGTAAAAATACTTATTTTCCTAACAAGTGCGCAAGGTGTTAATTTTTCGCAAGCAAACCCAGTTTGTATAAATGATATAGAAACAGAGGAAACATTTTTCATAATTTTTCAAAGTCGACAAGGTGCATTTATTGTTGCTTGATAATTAGTTTTACTTTTTTGCACTCAATGCGGATGAAGACCTTATGCGCACAGAGTGCGAAAAAGTGTTACTTTAAGCACGGAAATGCGTGCGGAAAACGGAAAACTACTACTTACCGAAACCTAAAACCTGAAGCAGTAAAATTCTTCGGTTATTATGATTTTTAGCAAAAGTATCAACAATATTATCGAGATTCATATTATACAGTGTGTCCCACTTTTCATGAATACACCCTGATATCTCAGTTAGTAATGATGCGATTTTATTCAAATTTTGGTGGTGATTGTATGTTAGAAAAATGAACTATTTGACATAGTAAACATTTTTATTTACCATTGGCGTGCGGTGTTGGGGGGTAAAAAGGGGTTGTATTTTTGGAAAAAAGATATTAGGGCATATTTTAGATAATTTTTGGTATCAGATTAAAAATCAGCGTCCCCAAAAACCCCTTAATTCATATTTTAAAAATCCTGCGAGATGATTTTAGCAAAAAAATTAATAAATTTATTTTAATTTACATGCTCTAATAAGCTGTTTGGCAAATACATATGAAGTAAGGGGTTTTTGGGGATGCTGAATTTTAATCTGATGCAAAAAATTATCTAGAATAAGCCCTAATATCTTTTTTCCCAAAAATACAACCCTTTTTCACCCCCCAACACGCACGCCAATGGTAAATAAAAATGTTTACTGTGTCAAATAGTGAATTTTTCTAAGATACACTCACCACCAAAATTTGAATAAAATCGCATTATTAATAACTGAGATATCGGGGTGTATTTATGAAAAGTGGGACACACTGTATATATTTGTATGGTATATCATATAACATTTTGTCATATTTTCGATGTAGACTTTATTCATGCGACTTTTGGCAAACGCAAGTTTTCAGGAGGGGCCGGCTAAATTTCAGGGGGGGGGCCCCGGCCCCCCCTGGCGTCGCCACTGCCTGTATACCTATACTTTAGTTTTTTCTTTTATTTTTAGAAAACTGTATCGGTTTGCCGTTATTGGTCGGTGACTCGGACAAACCAGTGCTTCACTACATACCTCCCCCAGAGCTTCATATACTTTTAGGTATTGTACAAAAATTATTTGATACCTTGAAAATGGAATATCATGAGGTAGCAGCAGAATGGGTCAAAAAATTGTACATTGGCTTTGATCACTCGGTGATTCATCAATTTTTCAATTTTTCTGAGTGCCTTTTTTCATAGAATCCGGCTCCGAATCTCAGAATAATTTAGTGTATAGAGTTTGGGGTGTCCAAATGATCATAAAAAATTTGAAATTTCATCCTTTTAGTACAATTAAGGTTATAATATGATTTAAATTTTGGAAAATTTTGAAAGGTCATAACTTTTTTTCTATTATAGATAGAAAGCTGAAATTTCTAGCGATTCTAAACCCAGTAGAGCACTACAATCCCTGAAAATTTCAGCTCGTTTGGAGTTATAAGGCGATTTTCAGCCTGGAATGATTATTTATTGGTAAATACCGTGGTTATTCTTTTGGTTGACAACTTTGACAGCCAAGTGTGACGTCATAGCCCCCCACCATGCAAGAATCATAACCCAAAGAACTAACCGCTGAAATGATTTGGTTATAGCAGTGTAGGGTTATGTTTATTATTCTTATTTGTTTTTTCATTTCAACAATAGTTTTTTGTTTAGGTACAAAAAATGGAGCTGAATCTCTCGTTAGTCTCGTTTATTGAACAGATTTTCTTTGGGGATGATCTAAACCTTGATCTAAACATGGTGAATTGCAGTGAGTGAGTGAATGTATACTTCTTTCATTGTGCCAGGCTACAACGCAACTGCAAAATCACAAAACACCAATACAAATTCCAAAAATAATTACAATAGCATCAAAAAGCTGTAACCAGATTAACCCAAGTCCAAAGCTGGGTTATAATCGGTTATAAGTGGTAAATACCAAAAGCAAATCAGCTGATATGTGACGTCACGACTTCCCCTACTTTGGTTAAAACCGCGACGGCAGAAATGCATTGGTTATAACCAAATAATAATCATTCCAGGCTGAAAATCGCCTCAATAATTCAATTTTTCTGAGTGTCTTTTTCCATAGATTTCGGCTTCAATTCTCAGAATAATTTAGTGTATAGACACAAAATTTTATCATTTTAGTACTAAGTGTAGCCACCTTATGATTTGGATTTTTGTAAACATTAAAAAAACATAACTTTTTTTCCATTAGATATAGACAGCTGAAATATTCACAAACCCAGAAGCTTATGTCTAAATAATAGTTCAATTATTTCAGCACAATGCCCAAAATGTTCAATTTTAATTGCATTGAAAATTGATTTTTGTTTGACATAAAATCTCCATTGTTCCTCACCATTCAGACATTAAATTATTTGTAAATTCAATTAAAGTAAATGCATTTTCGACTAATTCAAAGTTCCGCAATGATTTAACAAGGTTAAAAGCCCTCCGGTAATTTGCCTATAGTGTGTGCCTAGCTGTTGATTTTATGTTTGCTGATAAATTAATTATTTGTTTTTGAAGTGCATCTGTTAAGTCTGAAATATCAAAAAGTGACCTAAATCTTATTCCATGTATATCTGATGAAAATGGAGTGCACGTCCATCAAGATTTCTTCTAAAATATAAAACTAAATCGATAGAACTTTAATGTTGGATGTTACATCAGAATAGTTTCCCTAAGGATTCTCATCATATCGTCAAAGAGCAAGAAAGAGTCCATTAAATCCGAAAACATATTTTTGCCCTCCGATTTCCATTGGGATAGCTTACCATTCTCCCTAAGGATTTTCATATTAAATGCCAGTCTTGTAGCTACAATGTATGTTAATTTTAAGCTCCCGCTTAAATTAAATCAATTGGCTCTTAAGTCAACAACAGGTTGCCATACATTATGGATAGAGCCCCAACCAAAGGCACATGACAAATTTTTCACGTGCGTGCCCATGGGCAAACACCCCCCTAAATGGCAGTCACGAAAATCGATACTAAAACATTGTTGTTGACACGAATACATAATTTAAATTAAATTCGAATTATATAGGGGACCCACTACAAAAGTAATAAATATATACCTATAGGAACGAAATTCTATTTAATTCTATATATAGACAAGAAATAAGTGGGCAACATAATCCGAAATAAGATTTTCTAAATGTTCCTTACACAAGCGACATAAAATTTTAAGTGCAAATTGGCTAGAGCTGGCAGCCTTTTTGTTCTTCAAAAATTAGCAATTCCATTTTGCTATGCACGCTCTAACTTATATAATTAGTGCCTGCTTTAATTAGTAATTTTGTTAACGGAAACATTTACTCATATTTTCTATGAGAAAATATTAAAATCAGACTGGAGAAAATTGAAACTCACCTGTTAAAAACGACAATCGTCTCATGGCGGGAAACGGGTGATTTCCGGACGTGTCCAAAATGTCCAATTGATAAATTTCTCCGCGTATTCTATAGAGCTTCCGATGAAAATCTTCGATTGTCGGTGTATAATTTTCGTGAAACTTGCCTCCTAGGAATCTTGAAACTAGACAGGTTTTGCCTGTTCTTGCAGAACCTGGAAAAATTTATGTTTGATCACCATTACTTTAATACGCATGCATTTTTTTTAAATGAAAAACGGCCATTGGCCCTTTAACACATCTACCCTTTTTTTTCTCGCAAATTACACCCTGTTCACAAATGCTATTTTCCCACCAGGAAGGGTGATAGATAATCAGTGTTTGTGGAAGGCCTTATGGTAAAGTACACAAAATAAGGTTCGAAAAGCATTTTATGAACTGATCTTTATTGTAATACTACATTGAGTAATTTTAAAGCTGAATAATTAAAATTAGCCTATCAAGTTTTCATCGTAACTATATTATACAAACGGTTCAAGATTCCATAGAAACTCTATATTTAACATATTGAGCTTTGTTTATCTAACAACTAATAATTGTGTGTTTCCTCAAGCTACGGAGTTCTAGATATAATATCAAGAATTTTTTTAACAAAAACCACATGATAGTTTAAGCGTATAAAACGCGAGAACTAAAACTGTTATGTAATAAAACCTTCAGAATAAAAATGTAACAGACACCGCACGTTTCAGCGAAATTGTTTCTAGACGAAAATGCTTCAAGCAATTTTAAAGAATAAAACTTGGCACATTTGCCATGATGGTGATGAGTGGATTTATTACTGTTGAGAAATTGAATTTTCCTTGTTGCCTTAATGAAAGAGAAAATTCATGAAACATGAACTCGATTTTAGTTAGGAGATTGCGAGCTTTTGCTGAACAATATAACGTTTTTGATGATTATTTTGTTCGAATCGTGCCTGATTTGGATTTTTTTTTTGAGAATTTTAGTTTAGGTACTGCATTTATTTATCTACTTTTCCTGTTTTGGAAATTGTCCAATCATCTATCTCCTATTCTGATTAAATTCTTTCGTTCTTAACGAAATGAACAAGTGAAACTGAACTAAATGCATCTGAACAGAGCAATCACTTCAGTTTCACTTTAGACTGGTGGACATTTTCAGAAATTTTACTCCGAGCGGCATTTCGTGCGACATTCGTCAACTTTTTGACCCCGCTGAATCCGAATCCGGATGTTGCCAAGCCGAATTTTGCCTCTGAAGGCCTCAAATCTACCATGGCGGCCAAACTAAGGGCCTGAATGACATTTTTCTCAAAGTGTATCGTTATTGACCGGCGAGATGTCGTTTCATATGTTTTTGGGTTCGCTGAACATGAATATAAGTACCGGAAGTCGATTTGGAAGTACCACAATTCAAGATGGCGGAGGGCTAAATACAGAAGTTTCAGAAGTTGGCATATTGCGGCGTATCGGCACTAGGCTTTTGAAAATTAGCACCAGAAATCGATTAGGCAACCGGAAGTACCATAATCCAAGATGGCGACCGGTTGGGGCCCAAACACCAAACTTCAAAAAGTTGCTATAATATAACGTGCTGGGTATGACCACAAGTGTTTTGGAGGTCGCTGAACACGAATTTGAGGTCGGAAAAGTGATAGGAAACATGTTAACACAGGTTTGCCGAAATAAAATAGTACAACTATACTTTGAGGAATAAGCAAAATGCACAAAATATTTTACATGAATACATCATCACTGTCATTGCTGTTTTCGCAGTCTGCCCGACACTTACACAACTTGGTGCAGACCTCTCCCTCCCGCCTAAACTTGCACAAGCCTGTGCCGCACCCTGACCTACAGCCACAATGCAGTAACTGCGTGCAGGACTTGGGCACCGCTGGTAAGCTGGTGTAGAGTGGGATGTAATTCTCCTCCAGACGCCATCCGTACCGGCAAGGATCAGGAAGGTCTGGCCTTGCTATATGTGCATTCAGCCAGACTTTGGCAGGCGGGTATCCAGTTTACTTTTTTTACGTATTTTTTTTTGCTGCACTCGCAGTTGCAGAAGTTCAGGAGAGATTTTTGTCAAAGTGCGAGCAATTCATGGTACTTTTGTACAAGAGAAGAGAAAATACCTGTGATGAAGCGAGACACATTCTTTTTGGAAAAGTTTCAAGTCCTGAATTGCTCCCAGCTATGTCTGATGCAGCCAGTCTTCACATTCTCCGAGCCACCTACCAAGCCGGGGTCTGGCTAAATGCACATATAGCAGGGCCAGAACTTCCTGATCCTTGCCGATACGGATGGCGTCTGGAGGAGAATTACATCCCAGTCTACACCACCCTGCCAGCGGTGCCCAAGTCCTGCACGCAGTTACGGAGTTGTGGCTAGGGCCGCAACTCTCGCCACTCCACCGGCGCCTTCTTGTATCCAGAACCGTAACTAAAAGTTCGGTATTTTGTGATCCGCGAACACCATTACTTAAACTGCGCATGCGAAATAGTTTCGCACCAGTTCAGAATCCTTATCGCGAATGAACTATTGTAAAAGTAAAAGCTGTTTACGGAAACTATGATCGGGTTAACCCGATCGGCAGCAGACGTATTTTTTTTTTCAATCGTATTCATTAAGGAAAGATAGAAAACATTCAGCTGCTGATCGGGTTAACCCGATTATAGTTTCCGTAAACAGCTGAATAGAAATAAGTCAAAAGAGATAATGCATGCAGCATGCAGAGGGCGCCCACGTCGCCCACAGTGCTCTTGCTCAGTTTGGTCGCATCAAAGCTCGACTCGAAGCTAATCTCTAGCTAACGAATGTTGGGCGCTACGTCATCAATACTTGAATTTATCACAAACATTGCAATTTGCTGCTGCCTTTCGTTTTGCACGCGCACTGTATTTGACATAATTTATATGATTACTATCAGGTCTGTTTCTGCAGAAATCACAAACCACAGTCAGAGCAAATTTCATTGGTTGAGAACAGTCAGAAAACTAGTTTCAACCAGTGAAATTCATTCTGACTGGCAGGCCTGGATTAAGGAGGGTTCTACCGGTTCTATAGAACTGGGCCCAACGTTCCAAGGAGCCCTTGCGAGATCGAAGATTAGACAAAAAAATTTAAACTTGTTCAACAAACATTGCCAAAATTCCTCCAAAAGCTGGCTTGACAAGATTATAAATCATCAGCCTATAACCATTGTCTATAACTATCATTGAGGATAACTATGTTGCCAAATTGAATCACAACATGGCTCGATAGATCGCGCAGTGAACCAATAGTTATCACTGTAATAGTAATATTGAATACAGTGACTCTTATATTACAGTGGCGACAATTGCCGTCTCATTTTTCATTGGTTCTGTGAAATCCGATATATTCATATGGAAAACGCCGCCATTTTGGGGCTTACCTCTTGCTAATTTTAAATATGAATATATAGGATTCGAATGGACATCCATGATAACAAATTGAATACAACGTATTTGATGTACAAAGCTGGGCAGAAAACCGTTAATCCGTTATCCCTTAATTAACGGAGTTAAAAACATTGCTTAAATTTAACTTTTAAGTTAACCTAAAAAATATTAACGGTTTTCTTAACTTCCGTTACATTGAAATTCCCTTAACTTTACTCCGTTACGTTCGTAAATGACGTCATTTTGTTTGCTTGAATTGCGCGTCAAGGTCAATCGGGACAGTTCGCACAGGCGTAGAAAGATTTCAGTTCGTTACACTACGCAGTTTGGAACTGTTCTGGAATGATTTCAAACCCGATTCCGTAGAGATCGATGCGCAAGCCCTTAGTTCTGTTGTTAGGTAGGCTGTAAGCTGAGGTATATCGTTAGACTGTGGCGTTTTCTGCATTGTTCTATAAGCTCCTTTTTCTTGCAGAGGTGGATGGTAAATAAATCAGCTACCTAAATTGGAAATAGAGCCGCTTTTTAGATCTAGATACTTTTTGTTTTATTCACATTCACCTGTGTAGGAGTATAAGTACAATATTTTTAATATCCATTTGGAATCACACCATCTTTGCTCATCAATCATGAATCAGATGAAACAAAAAATCACCAACCAATCACAAATCACTTAAACGACTGGTACTTTCCAAATAGGTAATAAAAATACTATACTTTATGTTGGAGAAGACACGCTTGCTGATTCGCGATAAATGAATAATTTTGGAAAAAAAGATTTGGAATGAATTGTGAAAATCTAAGATGCCTACCTTGTAGCGGTATTGACAACGACTACTTCTCCTTTCGCATAGAGTACGTGCGGGACCTGTTAGGCTGTTCCATTTACGTTTTTTATAGGGATGGTTGGTGAACAGGGATGTACCAATATGCACAATTGTGCATATTATGCATAATCTGATCTCAATATGCACCATATGCACAATCTTCAAAAAATATGCACAATTTTCACAATCCAGCCAAAACAAAATTATTTTTCTTTAGCAAACCTTTGGCAACCCTGCATCGCGCGTTGGTTGCGGTTACTGTCATCTGTTATTCTGAAAGCTAAGCTCTAGACTTGTAACTGGAAAAAGAGTGCCAAATGAGCCACATAATGGCGGCTTACTTCCATGTCATCATTGGTAAAAGATTCTCTGTTCCAACAGGCATGAGAACCGTTCTAGAACGGTAATTTCCAGTCGATTAATTCATTTGTCAATTAGAATAAGAGTTCAAGTTATTTAAAAATAGGTGGGCAACTGGAAATTACTAGTTCTGGAACGGTTCTCGTTAGTTGGAACAGAGGGAAACATCGCGAGTCACTGTAATTTTGATTTTATTTCGTCGCCATCTATAAATATCAATTTTTCGACAACTTGTAGAACATTCTACCCCTACTTTCTCTAAAACCTAAGACATGGTGCCATTAATTGCGTCATTTTAACGTTATTTACGTCATTTTTGAGCATATGCACAATCTCAAACGAATATGCACAATTTTTCATTAGTTAAATGCACACTTCAAAATTTTCTTGGAACAAGCCTGTTGGTAAAGAGTTTTGTCAATTGTCAATAACTTTTCAATGATTAACTCTTAACGGATAACTTTAACTCGCGTTATATTCCCAAAAATTTAACGATTAACGATTTTCGAAGTTAACTTTTCAAGTAGCGAATTAACGATTAACGAAGTTAACTTTTCGATTAACTGTGCCCACCTTTGTTGAT